GTTGTTCATGCCTGAACTGTGCTCTGATTTCATTCAAACATCAACTTGTGTCTTTCTGCTGGGGACAAATCAACATGTCTCCCTGTGAGCCCTGTCCAGGTGGGCTATTTTCCCTCTCTGGGCTCCAGTGCCCAGGGATCTCCTGCTGGCCGCAGGGTGCGTATCTGCATTCAGGAGTTGGAGGTGCGAAGCTCGAGGGGCTCCTGGGCCATCGGGGCTGTGGTCAGCGCTGGGGGACAGCTCTTTCAGCCCGCTCCCGGTGCTTTCCTCTCATGGTCAGACAGTGTCGGCAGAGTGGCCGAGGCAGCGGCTGCTTTCCAGGGCATGGATGGGAGAGCCCGTCTCTGTCTCCTGTTTGCACACCACAGTGTCTGGGATGTTGGTCCAGAATCCGGATCTGTGTGGCTTCTGCTTCGGAGGCGGACACCTGCTTGGCTCCAGCTCACAGCTGGAAGCAGAGGGCAGAGGTTGTCCAGACTAGCTGCTGACAGAGCCATGCCAGGGCCCTATATTGGAGATAAATCATCACTTTCTTCTTTCTCTTTTTTGGGGGGAGGGTGAGGGAAAGAGAGTTAGTAATTGTTATTTGACAGGCAGAATTAGTGAGAGAGCTCTGTCTTCCATCTGCTGGTTCACTCCCCAATGGTCACAGTGACTGGGGCGAAGTCAGCAGCCAGGAGCTTCACATGGCTCTGCCACGTGGTGTAGGGACCACGGCCATTGGGCTGCTTCTGCTGCTTTCCCAGGCCCCACGAAGGCGCACCCACACGGGGTGTCAGTGGCACAGAGGCGGATTATCCTGCTACACTCTGGCCCCAAACATTTTCTGTTTTGTTCAATATTGTCATTAATTCTGCCGAATGCTTACAGGAGATTGTAACACTACCCCCTCGACCCCAAAGGTGTAAGGTATCCGACATTTGTCATTTTTATATACATTTTATAAGACTTCATGACTGGATGATACATTTTGAGAAGATGGGTTATAGCACATTTCTTCAGCTGGGATAGGACAGGGTCAAGGGAACACTATGGCATTTCTGAGATTTATTTATTAATTTTAAAAATATTTTTATTTTGAATTTTGAATTATGTGGTACATTTTTGTATAGGCTGGGATCCCCCCCAACTCCCACCCCCGTCAGATTTTCCCCATTTTATTACAATAGTGTAGTCCTTCATGAGGAATCATAATTCAGTCTCTTATTTAGGTATATCCCAACATTGTTGGGACAATGTCAGACAGTCCAGCGTCCCATCTTCTACACATGTCCAACAGTTTCGCTGGAAATCCATCTTTCATCTGGATACAGGGATGCATGTTTCATTGTACCCCAACATCTGTATATGATACTCCATCACTATATATTACCCTAAGTGAGAAGCCATGAAACAAGGTCAACAACTGGTATGAGTTAGAACAGCCACATCAGCAACAACATCAACAACAAATTATAGCACCTTGAAAAACATAACGTGCCACTGAATAACCAACACGTGATTGACAAAAAGGAAACACAGAAGTCTCTTGGGGAAAATGATGCCATCATATAATTCGTGAATTTGACTAGAGAAAAGAGATTATTTGGAAGGAACCAAACTGAAACAAAAACATCAAAACACGTGGACTACAGCCAAAAAAGCAAACAAACAATCAGAAAACAGTATGGATTGGACTATTGGAGTTACACTTTCCATGTTGGCTTCCTTATATAAGAGAGAATATGTGGTATTTGTTCTTTTGTGATTGACTCATTTCACTGAGCATAATGGTCTCTAGTTGGGACCACCTGGTTGTAAATAGAATAATTTCATTCTTCTTAACAACTGAATAATATTCCATGGAGTAGATGTACCTCAGTTTTTTTAACCACTCTTCCTTGGACGCACGTCTGGATTGTTTCCATGTCTTTGCTATTGTAGATTGTGCTGCTGTAAACATAGGATTGCAGATCGCCTTCTTACATGCAGATTTCACTTCTATTGGGCATATTCCTAGGAGCGGGATAACTGGGTCGTATGGCAGATTTAGTTGCAATTTTTCAAGCACTCTCCATACTGATTTCCACAGTGGTTATACTAGCCTACACTCCCAGCAGCAGTGAAGGAGGGTGCCTTTCTCCCCACATCCACGCCAGCAGGTGTTGTTGGTTGAGTTCTGAATGTAGGCCAGTCTCACTAGAGTTAGGTGGTACCTCAACATGGTTTTCATTTGTATCTCTCTTATGGCTAGGGAGCCTAAACATCTTTTCATATGTCTGTTAGCCATTTAAATCTGTTCTTTTGAGAAATGTCTGTTCATTTCTTTTGCCCATTTTGTTACAGGTTTTGTTTTTTTGTTTGTTTGTTTGTCCCTGGGTTTCTGAAGCTCTTTGTAGATGCTGGATATTAGTCCCCTATCATTTGTGTAGCATGCAAAAATTTTCTCCCATTCTGTTGATTGCTTCTTCACTTTGTTAATTGTTTCCTTTGTATTTCTGAGATTTAGAGTGTTCATGTAATCTTTTTTTAAAAGATTTATTTATTTATTGGAAAGTCAGATATACAGAGAGGAGGAGAGACAGAGAGGAAGATCTTCCGTCCGATGATTCACTCCCCAAGTGAGCACAACAGCTGATGCTATGCCGGTCCGAAGCCAGGAGCCAGGAACTTCTTCTGCGTATCCCACATGGGTGCAGGGTCCCAAAGCTTTGGGTTGCCCTCGACTACTTTCCCAGGCCACAAGCAGAGAGCTGGATGGGAAGTGGAGCAGCTGGAACATGAACCGGCGCCCATGTGGGATCCCGGTGCGTTCAAGGCGAGGACTTTAGCTGCTAGGCCATGCTGCCGGTCCCTGGAGTGTTCATGTAATCTACGCACGGTGGTTGGCATTCTATGAGGTTTTCAATGTTTAGACTGTTTTAAAAGATGAGTCTAACTGATTTTTCAGATGAGTATTTATACAACAGGAATGAGTTGTTTGTAATTGTGCAGTTTACATTTGTATAACACTATAATTATATAATATGGTTCTACAAACTTTTTTCTAAAGCTTTATTGTTATTTTTATTTTTATTGAAAAGACAAATTTAAATAGAGAAGGAGAGACAGAGAGAAAGTTCTTCTGTCTGCTGGTTCACTGCCCAAGTGGCCACAACGGCCCAGAGCTGAGCCAATCTGAAGCCAGGAGCTTTTCCAGGCCTCCCATGCGGGTACACGGCCCCAAGGCTTTGGACCATCCTCGACTGCTTTTCCAGGGCACAGGCAGGGAGCTGGATGGGAAGTGGGGCTGCCAGGACATGAACTGGCACCCATATGGGATCCAGGCACCTGCAAGGACTTGAGCTGACAGGTTGCTGCGCCGGGCCCTTGTTGCACCGTGCCAGACCCCTGTTGTACCGTGCCAGGCCCTTGTCAGGCTTTCAATGTTTTACAGATACACATCTCCCTTTTTGACCAAAATACACATTTTCTCATTGTGCTGCTTGCATTTTAATTTTTAATTGCGTTATTTTTATGTAATATAAATGTTACAAATAACAACACAGTCACATTTGTCAAAGAGTGTCTTTAAATCCGTTACTTCCTGTCTATTTAGTATGCGTACTCATGGTATATATTATGTATTATCTGAATACATTCATTTCTATCCCAAGATTGCCATTCTTCCTGCTCGTTTTTGTTTGCGTTTTATTTAGAATCACACATACATTTGGCAGATGATATATGTTGTATGTATGTAAATGCTGATTAATTGTTCTAACAGTTGAACAATAGATAATCAAGCTCAAACAAGTGAAAAATTGACGAATTATGCAAACCTTCCACGTTTGGATTTTCTGAAGTGAAATGGAGACAAAAGCATCCTTCTCCCTCTGTTGTTGTGAGGTTAAATCAGCTGATAAGGTGTGAGCTGTCTGGTTTGGGGAGCCATGTCTGTCTGGCTGTTTGTTTTCTGCCTGTTACCCACACAGCGCCGTGAGACCCACCTGGTGTGACTTCAGCTCCAGCTGCGACCATAGCCTACCGTACAACCAGATACCACAGGGACATACATTTCACCTTCTTCTGTCACTTACATAGCTGCGTATTTTTATTAGTGTTTTAGAGCTTCCTCCTGGCTCATGCTTCCTGTTTTTAACTTATTTAATTTCTATTTTTAGTTTGCAAGTCGTCGTTTTTGAACGTCGTTTATTCCTTGCTCTTTTATAGAGCTGCCTTCCCCAGTTGGTTGAAGTTCGCTCAGTGTCCTTGTGCTCTGACTACGGCGCAACAGCCTTTGCTCTAGTGTGGTGGAGTATGTCCAGCTGCGTTTTCACTCGTCAGATACAGGTGGATTCCTGTTTCTTCTGTGAGTTTTAATTTGCCGGGGCTTGAGCTTTAAACTCCTGAACACTTTGGGACAGGCTGCCATGCTTTTTAGTTTGTAGTGGTGTTTTGTCATTGGCAACATTTTACAACGCACTGCTTACACGTGCAGCTGACCGTCTTCCCGTCCGATGGTGGGTGTGGCCCTTGCCCACTTTTCTGCTTGACTAGGCGTTTTTGTGACTTTTTATTTGTTGAATGCTTTATGTATTGAAGCCATTAAGAGTTGAACTACAATGTGAATTAAAACAATTTTACCTTAAATTAGTAAATGAAATAAATATTAAGTTGAACACATCAAAGAAGAGGATGAAGAAATAAAGCCAACCGTTGTTTTAAGACTTTCACGTGGTGAAGCCTTTCTGATCCCAGTGTGCAGCAATGTTTCGTGGACAGATTTATAGAGAGAAATGAAGAGGAGCTTGGCAGGGACGCCAATTTTTTTTTTTAAGATTTATTTGTTTTTTGACTCCCAATGAAGCTATTAAGATAGGCTTGACGGTAGGATGCTGGAGCCAACAGTCTCCATGCCTACAACATCAGGACACGCTTCAATAGCAGGAAGGACTTATGACTGTCTTCTAAAAAACTGCACTGCTGTAATAACAAAGGCAAAATCACTGGGGGAGGATGGCAAGTCCCAGAGCTTTTGGAACTGTATCATAAAATAAATAAGTTAGAGAAAAATTAAAGCTATTGTGAAATGAAGTGTTAAAGATACAAAGAAACAGTAAAGGATGGAAGGTCTGAGACTGTGTCGATCACTCTTTAAAATGTAAGTAGATATAGATGTTAGCAAGTGAAAAAGACCTACTTGTTTTTATTGGAAAAACAGATCAGACTTATGGAGAGCGGAGACAGAGACAGATCTACCATTCATTAGTCACACCCTCAGTGTCCACAATGGTCACCTCTGAGACGATCCAGAGCCAGGAGCCTCTTCCGGGTCTCCCATGCAGGTGCAGGGTCCCAAGGCTTTGGTGTGGGGGTGGTGCCTGCAGCCGATGCACTGCTGCCAGGTGCCCGCATCTCCCATGGCTGTTTGCCCTCAGTCTATGTCTTGTTATTGATGTTGTTTCATCACATTCTTTCACTGGCTAGTATTTTTGTGTACCTTTTTCTTTTCCTTTTCCGCATTGTTATACATTTTCTCTCATGTTTCTTTCTAATAGTACATATATTTGAATAAGTTAATTTTAATTGCTTATGTTCTTAGGATTATTCTTGTCATCTGAACATCTCACTTTAATGTGCTTCCTCTTTTCCTCCTTTTCAGTGAACTCTAATTATTTCCATTGCGTTAAATCACATGTGTTTGCTCATTTTTTTCCTTATTGTCAATTTGGAAGGTTTTGTGTCATCAGTGTAAAAAATCAAACATTTTGATTACCACATAAAACCAATCAATGTTTCTGTGCAAAGGTTCTCTAAGATTTTTACTCATTTATTTTCATTGTATTTGAACAAGGAGAGAGAGAGTGGTGGTGGGAGGAGTGTGTTATCTTCCGTCCTCTGATTCAGTCCCTCAGTGACGCGTCGGTGCCGGACACAGAAGGGAAGGAGGCAGGCAAGCTGCACCAGGGAGCTAGAATGCCATCTGGGCCTTTTGGGTGGGGGGCGGGCAACCAAGCACTTGCACCACTCTCTGCTGGAAACTTGGTTAGAAGTGGAAGTCCAACTCCATGCCAGGCACCCTGATTTGGAAAGTGGGCAGCTGCTGTGCCAGGAGCCCACCCCTTTGCTATGCCCACCAACAACACGCCAGCGCTAAGCTCCACGTATCCCCTACCTCACTGGCCTCTTGCTCGTCACAGCACTTGCATAGTACTCTTCAACACTGCCATGTTTCACAGTGAACCTGCTGTGTCGCATTTATTCCTGACACAATAATGTTTATTTGTTCCTAATCTTGCTTAATATTTCCCCATAACATTCTTTGCTTTTGTGGGCCAGTTTTTAGAACCCAAGAGGAAACTTGATGCTTTTCCTAGTCATGGTGAGAGAATTCAGATATTTTCATCTTATTTTTCTGGACAACGCTTTCTTGTGACATGTGTTAGAATGCTGGTGCAGGCCAAGCAAGAAGATAAAGTGTCAGCAATTTTGTGTATGATAAAAAAATGTGGACGTCAGTGTGCCTGGCCTGCAGCTGTTTGCTTGATGACGTCTGCCAAAAGTGTAGCACTTCAGGCATCGGTGTCAGGTGGCACATGAGTTGCACGGTGCCTTGCCTACCCTAAATCCTAAATTTACAGGGACTGCTCAAGAAGAAGGTCGTCCTCATTTTGAGGGGTTTTATTGTTATTGCTGTTGTTTTGTTTATACTGAAGCTCATGTCTTTGCTCTGTTTCACGAAGTCACTCATTTGTCGAAGTTCTGAAAATGATGTTTCAGGGATAGATGATTTTGAAATTGAGACAGTGTGTTCCTTGAGTTCTGGCGAACTGTGAGAGCATCTCGGTTTAAACAGTTACCACTTCTGCTGGGTTTCTCAGTCCATCCTTCAGCCTCTTATTCCCCAATTCAAACACTCAACACGTTTATTTTTTCTGCACTCCCTTCTACTCGCTTTCTTCCACCTTCCAGTGAAGCAGTTCTCATTTGGCTGTATCTGCTTCATTTAAAGTTACACTTGAAGAAGTCAGTGTTGGCCACTGCACTCACAACGTGCTGTAACCAGTCCCCTAGCTTATCCCACATGTAACGTAAGCTTCGTTTGGGTACATCTGTTTCTTAGGGTGTTCTTTGTTCCTTCCTGCTGTTCTGTTCTGCATCTGGACCATGTTTCTTTCACTGTCCATCCAATGTTAGTTTCTCTGTAAGTAACTTTTTGTATTTTAAAAATTTTAGTTTTTAAAAAATTATTCGCTTATTTAGAATGAGTTACAGAGAGGGAGGGAAATCTTGCATTCATTGGGTCCCTCTCCAGATGGCCGCAAAGGCCAGGCTGGCTGGACCAGGCTACAGCCAGCAGTGTCGTCTGGATCTCCCACGTGGGTCAGGGGCCCCAGCACCTGGGATGTCTGACACTGCTTTCTCAGGCCATTGTCAGGGAGCTGATGGGGGGGTGCGGCAGCTGACACTAAACGATGAGGGATTTGGTCTTGCAGGCAGTGGTTTAACCTGCCAGTCCCGAAAGGCCATTTTGGTTGGGTATAGAATTGCAACTCCACATGCGTTTCTTTTCTACACAGTTAAGCACCTCGTCCCAAGGGCTGTGACCTCCTGGACTTTCTGCAGGAAGACCGGCTGTCATGTGCTTCTGCGTCTGGAGTGTTCAGCGATGTTATGAGAGGTGGTTTTCTCTTCGTTCCCACTGCTTGTGGGTCTTGGACACCTTGAGTAAGTGGGTTTTCATCTTGCCTAAGCAGTCATCTCTGAACATATGTTCTACTTGACCCCCTGGTCTCCAGGGACCTCCATCTTACTGCGTCCCATACCTCACCTGCCCTCTTCCCAGCTGAGCACGTGCCACATGGCAAAGCAACAGGAGGCAGCTGAGCCAGGAGGTGGCATTGTGAGGCGCTCTCTGTACTGCCTGGTACCCCAGAAACCCTGAGCAGAAAAGGCAGACTTATAGAGACAAGGGGAGAGACAAAGATCTTCCATCAGCTGGGGTTCATTCCCCAAACAGATGCAATGGCTTCAATGCCTGAGACTCAGACAACTCAGCCAGGAACCTGGAGTTGTTTCCAGGTCTCCCACATGGAGGCAGGGTCCCAAGCATTTGGGCCATCCTTCACTGCTTTCCCAGGCCACAGGCAGGGAGCTGGATGGGAAGTGGAGCAGCCGGGACATGAACCAGCACCTATGTGGGAGGTGGAGGATTATTCCATTGAGCTATTGTGCTGACCTCAGAGCTGCAAACTCTTGCACACTGAGAATACCAGGTTCATGCACACTCACAGCTGTTGCACATACAGTGACATGTTTTCACACACATTGCTGGGATGATCCACTCCAAAGCAGGAGCCAGGAGCTTCTTCCAGTCTCCCACAGATGAGCAGGGTCCCAAGGTCATCCTTTGCTGATTGCCAGACCACAAGCAGGGAGCTGGATGGGAAATAGAGCTGCCAGGGCTTGAACTGATACCCAGATGGCATGCCCGCACTTGCAAGAGAATTTAACCAATTGAGCCATAACATCAGAGCAAACAGGTGAGGACTATCTACCCATTCATTGGCTGAGTCGCTGGGACACCCTCACCCCACATCGAGGGCCACATTTTAAGTCCCAGCTCTGCTTCATGGACTAAGAACTTGTCTCCTGGTTCTGGCCATTCAAGTCATGGGGAGTGAAGCAGCATATAGGAGCTGTTTGCGACATGCACAGTACTCGATGGTCATCAGGTTTCCCAGCCATGGCAGTAGAACTGGGGCTCCAGCACCTGTGTCCTGGCTGGACTCTGCGAGCTATGTGAGATGCCCAGCAAGAATATGAGTCCCAGCTATCTTTCAAAGTCGCCCTATAAGAGGGCATGTTTCTGTGATGTTTGTGCAGGAGCTGTCTCTGGCGGGATTGAGGGGAGCAGCCCGTAGTCTATCTTGCCCCCAGCCCTGGACTCTAGAGGTGTGGACACCTGCCCAACGCTACCTAGGCCAGTGAAGGCAGGGGCCCTTCTGTGGTGACAGGGCACTCACACACGACCTTCCCCGGGGAAGGACAGCAGATGTGGGAACACGCCTGAGGGGTGGGGCATGGCTGGCTCCACCAGTGTGTCCAGCATGGTCCAGCCCCATGTGACCAGCACAGCTGCCTCCTTCCCCCGCAGGCTCCGGCCTGAACACAGGCACCTTACTGTTGGCACAGACCTACAGTCCTTGGACTGAGAGGAGCCCCACGCCGAGGGACTGTGTTTCAGTCATCTCTCCAGTCTCCATGCCAAACCCTTACTGCTTGTTCTTCCTGTGGGTAATAAACGTGGAGAGGGTGAGCCAAGCAGGTGCGAGGAGGGCCTGCAGGGGCATGGCAGCTGGAGGAGCCGCAGGGTCTGTGGAGACAGATGCTCTGTATTTCACCCTGATGTGTCAGACTCTCTGGAGGAGGATGGCCGTCCCGGCAGCGAGGTCTGCAGGGTCTTGAGGGGCAAGGAGGCTTCCTGTGGTGAGCACGGCATGTTGGACTTGACCTCCTCCGCATCCCTGCACCGCCCACGGATGCAGACACAGCTCCCACAGGCAGCCCGCCCCTCCTCTTTTCCACCCAGTCTGTAGGGCTGTGAATATGCCGGGCCCCAGGGCCTGGCACATGCAGGTGCACCCCTGGCACCTGTGACCCTGGGGGCAGTGAAGTCACAGCCCCATTTGGTCCTTGGGTAACTCTGTGGGTGCTGTTGCTGGAGCCCCACCCCGCTCTTGCCTCCGCCAGGCTGCGTGGCTGCTGGCTCCTGGGAGTGCTGGCAGGCTGTGGTGGCCGGCACGTTGGGGGGTGTCAGCTTTTAATTGTAACTGTCTTGCAGAGCAGTGTTGTTTTAATATCCTGTATAGATTTTTATGTAATACACTTACTTGCAGGCAGCCCGAAGCAAGAATCAATTCTGTGAAGGGCTCTTCTTTTGTTAAAAGCCAATCTTGTTTTAATGATGCATGAAGAAATATTCGAGCATTGACATTTTTCTGTCAGGTTTCTTTTGAAAAATCAATTAAGATAATACTGCCTTGACCTAGTTATCTAGTTAATGCTTATTAGGAATGTAATATGATTTACTGTCAGCATAATAATTTTTGTATCTTATCCCATTAGCTTGTGCATATTTCAAAGTGTATTTCACAATGG